GCCCTGCCCCCTTCCCCTCGGGTGGGGGGCTTCTTCAGCTATAGTTCTGATAGGCAGGAGAAAGGTACACGGGAGGACAGTAAGGATGGGACAGCAAGGGGGTGGAGGAGAAGACACAGGGCCTGGAGACATGGATCGTCAGCCCCTCAGTCATTACAAGTCACGAAGCTGACAGGGACCATAAGAATCATCCAGTCTGACCCTCTCATTCTACAGATGCTTGCCTAAGGCCCACTGCCAGTCAGTGCTAGAACCAAGAAACTGAGGCCTTTTGACCCTCTTGGCCAGAGTTCTTTCCACTCCACCATGCTGCTTCCTACATCACAAAATCACATGTCTGAATTTCAAAGGACTAATCATTTGTTATTTGCTCAAAAGCTAATTTAGATTTTGTTTTAATTTCTTATTGATATCTTCAGTTTTTACAGTATTAGCATTTCTTTGATGACCTCTTCATCATAGCCTTTTCACATTAGCAATGCATCCATCTTTATGACCCTTCCCTCTGGTTGGTGAATTTCCACCTGAATTCTCATTTGAGGAAGTTCTCGTGCCTGCCATGTTCCCTTTAAACCTGGACTTGCCCATGACTCCCTGATGACCAATTCTGCTTGTTCCTTGTGGGTACTCTCCTTGGCTTCCTCTGATTTTCAGCTCTTTTTTATGAGTTTTCTTCTCCCTCTAGAATATAAGCTCCTTGTGGGCAGGGACCTTCTTCCTTTTTTGCTTGTAGTACAGTGCCTGTCACATAGTAAGTACGTAATTAATGTTATCTATTTCTCTTTTTCTCTCTATCCATCCATCCATCCATCCATCCATCCATCCATCCATCCATCCATCCATCCTTCTATCTAGCCTATCTATCTATCTATCTATCTATCTATCTATCTATCTATCTATCTATCTATCTATCTATCTATCTATCATCTATCTGTCTGTCTCTCTGTCTGTCTATCTATCTACCTATCTGTCTGTCTATGTATCTATCTACTTTATCTCTATCTATCTACCTATCTATCCATCTACCTGTCTGTCTTTCAGTCTACCTATGTATCTACCTACTTAATGTATACTTCTTCCCCCTCCCAGAGAGCAATCCATTATGATAACAGATAAAGAGGCAAAATATAATTTAGCAAAAGTAACACACCAAAACCACATCTATAAAGTCAAATATCATATTCAGTATCGAATACATGTTTTCCCCCAACTCTGTGAAGACTGGAAGGTATATTTTCACATCTCTTTATTGGGGTCAAGCTTAGTCATTATATTTCACAGCTTTCAGTTTTTACTTCTTATCATTGTTTTTTCCCATTTACATAGTTATAGTCATTGTATATGTTGTTTTCCTGTTGCTACTTACATTTATGAACTGCATCAGTTCATAGAAGTCTTCCCACACTTCTCTGAATACTTCCTATTCATTGCTAGTTATAAAGCAGAAATGTTTGGTTATGTTCACGTACCATGATTTGCTTAACTATGCAGGATTATAGATTTAGAACTGGGATGGGTCTTAGAGATCATTTAGTTCAACCCCCTGGTTTTAGAGACAGGGAACCTAGGTCATGTCACCAAGACTTGGGTTCACATCCTGCCTCTGATATATACTACTCATGTCACCCTGGGAAAGACAGTTACCTCCTCAGTGCCCCAAGCAACTTTGTGGAACAGGGGTCAGCAAACTATAACCACAGGCCAATGTGCAATACCTCTTCCCCCAAAAAAACCCCAACAAAAGCCCAACACAGGCTGCACAGCTGGATTTGGCTATAGGGCTGTAGTTTGCTGAACCCTGCCTAGAGGCAGCACGACATAATGGAGAGGGCATTGGACTTGGAACAAGAAGGACCTTACTATTTGTGTGGTCTTGCGCAAGCCACTTAACTTCTCTCTGTCTCATTTTTCTCATTTGTAAAATGTTGGTAGTGGTGGGGCAGTAATGGCCTCTAAGGTCCTTTCTAGCCCTAAATCTGTGATCTTAGGATCTAGCCTTATAGTATATAGAACTGTGACTGATCTGCATGTATACATGAATATACACCTACCTACTGTGTACTTGTACATACGAATAACTACACAAAATACATACATGTATGTATGTATACGTAGACATGTATATGTATCTATATATACACGTGCATATCCATATATATCCATATATAATTAAATTCTATCTGTTCCAAAAGAAAGCTATTCTTGTGAGATAGGCCAGATTTTTTCTCCCCATTATACAGATGAAGGAACTGATCTCAGAGAGCTGAAGAGATTGCTTAAAAGAAAGCCATCCTTGTGAGGTAGGTGGGATTTTTGTCCCCATTATACAGGTGAAGAAACTGAGTCTCAGAGAACGGAAGGGACTTACCCAGAGTCCTACAGCAAGTGGAGTGAGTATATCTTCCCTCTTCTACCCAGAAAACCACCCCTTGAAACAAAGATTTAAAAAAGGGACAGTAAAAATAGCAGTTTAACAAAGGAAACCAATACAACAACTCTGAACTAGAACCCAGGCCTTTGGACTCAGAGACCAGTGCTCCTTACCATCTGCACTTAGATGTGTGCCTGTCCTCGCATATATTCATATAAAGAAAAGCCCAATAATGCCAAACAAACCTGCCGAAGCGGTGCGGGCTGATTACACAGCAAAGTCTAGCTGTGTGGAGAGTACATGTTTCCAGGAACCCCAGCAGAAAAGAACAGCACACACGCCCGCGTGCTCCTCAGAATCAGCAAGCACAATTTATCTTTGCAGGTCAATAGCTCATATTGTCTGCTCTGCTGAATTGTTCAAACATATATAATGCTCTCAAAACATTGCTTAATTAGATTCCAGAGAACATTGACACACAAACAAAAGATATTAATATCAAGCATTCCAGCATCAATTGTAGTTTACACAGATCAAAGAACATTTTTGGTGCAAAGAGGTTGCGAGTGTGACAGGTTGTTACTTTACAAGTTAAGACCGCCAGCTCACACGAGGAGACGAAGCAGCAGTGATCAGAGAAGCTCGCACAAAGGGAGCCGAGGGGCCGTTGGGAGGAATATGTGCAGAGATCAAAATCGCCTTGGTTGGCAATGTGGGGGAAAGCCAAGATCGCGGGAACATGTGAGGGAAATTAGAGCTTATTAAGGAAGACATGTAGTGGGCCAACTGATACAGGCTGATCTCCGCCAGGAAGGAGAGATAAGAGACAGGCTGGAGGCTGCTGAGGAAGGCATTGGAAAGCCAAATGGCCCTTCTGAGAATCACTGGATTCTAGAATGTTAGAGCTGTGAAGGGCTGTAGTAATCACCTGGCTGGCCCATTTTACAGAGCAAGAAACTGAGGCCTAGACAGGTCAAGTGACTCGCCCTAAGTCACACGCTGAGTTATTGGCAGAGCCAGCACTAGAACTCAGCTCTTTGGACTACCAAACTAGTGTGTTGGACCCCAAGATCTCTCTTTACTATGTTGAGCCTTAGCGGTATGGTCTAGTGGAGAGAGCATTGAATATAGAGCCAGAAGACTTGGATTTGAGTGTTAGTTCTAGTATTTACCAGCCCTGTCAAGCAGGTCTTTCATCTTTCTCATCTGTAAGATGGGGCTAATTGAAAATATACTTGCATTTAAGACTTTATAAAGGCTGCTATGAGGAAGGTGCTATGTGAATTGTAAAGCATTGTGTAAATGGGAGTTATTTTTATTGATCTTATTCTTACCTTTTTCAATGTTGTCAATCACTATCAATTCCTTCCTCTTGCCTCCCCTCCCCCTCATTAAAATATTTTTGGTGCTTTGGGGTATATACCTGTCAGTGAGCTCTCTGAGCCAAGGGGTACGAATCCATCATCTCACGTGATTCTCTCTCAACAGCCCTGAAAACACTCCCAGAACAAGTTGCTATCCTGCAACTTTTCTTTTCTATCTAATATTCTCTGGACTGTTGGCTCAGGTGGATAAAATAACTGTTTTTCTTTAATTGAATAACAGTCATGACATATAAGCTCATCCTTCTGTGGATTCACTGAAAGCATCTCTTCAGAGTAACTCCAGCAGCAGACAGGGTGACCAGCGACGATATCGGCTTCATCCCTGCTCCCACATGGTATTGCTGTCTTCTCCCAGGTCTCTGCTTTGAAAACTTTTCATTCCATGTAGAGAGATCATTGTCATCATCATTGTCATTGTTAGTTTCTGGCAACCATTCATGGCAGGGTCCATACTCTGTGTCCTATAACCCAAAGAGGGATAAGGATGGTGCTGACTACATTGGGGAGGAAAGCAAAGCAGGGAGAACTAACCCCCCCACTTGTCTATTCTTTCCCCTCTACTCCCCCACAACACCTCCAAACCCCTCCCCTCCCACCTTCCCAGCAGCTCCCGTGTCAGCATTGTTGCTGCAATCTGGGAAGGGCTAAATAAATACAAGCAGATGGCCAGCTCATTGTACAGAAGCAAGAAATGCACTTATCAGACTATGGGGCACATTTGCATCTCGATGCACAGACATTTGTGTCTGTATCTTCCCTTCCCATTAATGGGCATTTTGTTTGCAAATCCCCAAGTATCCAGAAATGACTATGCCCCAGCAACGAGCATTTGTTTTGATAAAATGATCTCCCTATTGTGACCAGATTATCTTAAAGCCCCAGTGCCAAAACAGTAAAATGGTTTTGGCCTAGGCAGCCGGGAGGCACCCTAGAAAGCCCAACAGATTAGGAGGTGGGAGAGCTGGGTTCTAAACCCAGCTCTGCCACTAATTCGCTATGGGACATTGGGCAAGTTATCATTCAGCAAATATTTATTAGGCACCTACTGTGTGCAAGGCATTGAAAGAGACAGACGTTGGCCTGGAATTGAACGGAGGTTCCCCCCTAGGTGGGAGATGAGAAATGTTTACCTCTCTGGATTGAAGGCAGTGCATTGTAGTAGAATGAATATTAAACTAAGAACCAGGAGACCTGGCTTCTAATCCCAGCTCTGCTGATAATTTGCTGTGTGATCTTAGGTAAATTGTTTTCCCCTCTGGATCCCAGTTTCTTCATCTGCAAAACAATTGGATGGGATGAAATGATTTCCAAGGTTTTTTTTTTTCCCCTGCTTTGAAATTCTAAGGCTCCCTCACTAGGTTCTGCAACTTATATTAAGGTTGAATTCATATCTTGATTACGGGCAAAGTGCTAGTTCAGGCTAGGCTAATCTTTATGCCATGCTAAGTAGTGTCATTAGGGGGAAAGCAAAACAGTTGTTGTCTAAGGGAAAAACATGATTGTTTAAAAGAAAACGCCTCAAATGTATTCAATTATATATAATTTATATAATGACTGCAATAGTTTCCAGCCAAAAAATAATAATAATCGCCTGATTTTCCCTTCATAGCCCTAGAGACAAATTAAAATAATGTAAAGTAAGTTCATAATTGGCCTGGGCTGTGGTGCACTCTGGGAGCTGTGCAACTGCCTCCAGGTGTGTGCTTCTGACAAGGCAAACTGTACTACATCCCAGGGGGAGCTCCTCCTTCCCCATACCTGGACCATGCCAATGCAAGAGACAAGGCCTCCATTCCTGCTGGCTCTCCAAGATGAGAACACTCACTCCCTGTTGGCCTGTGGGCTCCTTCAGGTGTAGGGTGAAGACAAAATCCCAGAGAGGATGAGCGGAAGCAGCTTCTCTCTTTGTAGGCTGGTGGGAAAGGAACAAATTCTAGTAAACTGAGAACTCGAATACCCTCCCCTCTTTCATTACCTGGCCAGGTTCCACCCATCCTCCAGGCCCTAGCCCAGGGTTGTAACAGGCAAGGAGGCTACTAAATGAAGAAATAATAATAGCAATATAATAATAACCATATGTAACATTCATTCCCCCAAAGTAGGAACATTTTAAGTAGATGCTGCCCTACCAAATACCATCTCCAAGATCCAGCAGGTAAAAAGCTTTCAAAACATAGAAAAACAACCTTCCCCCCCCCAAAAAAAAACCTCATAAAATATAGAGACCCATGGAAAGAAGTAAAAACCATGAAGGAAATGGATAAGATACTCACCATACACTTTGTCCTCACTGCTTCTGGAACTGTCTCTGAGATGTTTTCAGTGAGTCTACAGAAGATGAGCTTTTATTCAATTACAAAAAGCAGTTATTTTATATACCTGTGTAATAAACCACAGAACATTACAAATAACAGCATAATACCATGACTGTTTTTATTTGAACTCCCTTGAAAAAGACAAAAATTGATAATAATATTAGAAGACAATAATAGGATAATAATACTAATAATAATAGGAGACAATAAAAATAACGTGAAATAGTAGTAGTCTAAGTGCTGGATTTGGAGACAGGAAGATGTGGATTCATAGCCTTCTGCTGATTCTATTAGTTGTATGACCTTGGTCAATCACTTAACTTCTCTGAGACTCAGTTTCCTTATCAGTAAAAAGATGGCTTCTAAGATCTCTTCCAGCTTTAAATGTAGGATTCTATGAATATAGAAACAACAATAATAATAATAATAATAGTGTCTAGGAGAAGGGAATAGGCATTTATATAGTGCCTGCTTTTTGCAAGGCATTGTGCTAAGCATTTTATAAATATTACCTCATTTGATACTCACAACAATCCCTGAAAGGAAGGTGCTATTATTACCCCCATTTTACAGATGAGAAAAATGAGGTCCACAGATGTTAAGTGGAGAGCTTGAGGTTACACAGCTAGTAGGTGTCAGTGTTGGGATACGAACCCAGGTCCTCTGCCTCCAAATAAAGCACATTTCCATAGAACTTGCAAAATGCAGGCAGCACAAATATTCTTATTCTCATTTTATAGATGAGGAAATTTGAGGTTCAGAGAGAGAGAGATTCAGTGAACTGCCTGGCATTACACAGCTAAAAAGTGACAGGGCCAGGACTGACATCCAGTTGTCCTGACTCCAGGCCTAGATGGTGCATGAGGCCTCAACGTGGGCAGAGGCCCTTCATCTGAGAGCACTGGCCCTCAGTTCCATCAAGGAAAGGAACCTGGCTTGAAATAAGTGCATCTCCCTCAATAGTAACTACCACTGAATACAGCTTTAAAACTTATAAGCCGCTTTACATGTATTATCTCATTTGATCCTCATACCAACCCCTTTGAAGTAGATACTATACAGGCATTCTCCCCATTTTATGGATAGGGAAACTCAGCCTCAGAGAGATTAAATAATTTGCCCAAGATTACAAGCTAATAATTGTCAGAGGCAAGATTTGAACTCAGGTCTTCCTGTCTTGAAATTCAGCCATTTATCCATCATTCCACAACCACTGAACCTGAATCAGTGAGTATAGTATCTGACATAGTGCCACGAGACAGTGGGTATTTTGTATGTTTGACTCTCACTTATCCACTTCACAGGTTTGATCTGACTTTCCTTTCCCATCCAATATGAACCCGGAACTCAGTCAGCTGATATCTATTGATGGCATGAAAACGCATTCTGAGCAAAGCAGTTTTTTTTTTCCCCTGGCTGGGGGTGAGGCATAAAATTCATAATGATGTGTTCCAAAGCTAGACATAACTGACTTTTAGTCTATCGGAAGCAATGGGGTACGTTGATGTGAACAAAGGCCTAAGAATTAGGAACTGTTGTTTAGTTCTTTCAGTCATATCTGACTCTTTGTGACCTCATTTGGAGTTTTCTTGGCAAAGACGCTGGAGTGGTTTGCCATTTCCTACTCTACCTCATTTTACAGATGAGGAAACTGACTTGCCCAGGGTCACACAGCTAGTAAGTATCTGAGGCCAGATTTGAACTCAGGGAGATGAGTCTTCCTGACTCCTGCCTGGCACTCTAGCCATTGAGCCATCTAGCTGCCCAGTGTTAGAAGATGCAGATTCTAATTCTACTAGCTAGCTGTGTGACCTAAGGCAAGTCATTTCCCCTCTGCCTCACTTTTCTCCTCTGTAAAATGAAGGTATGTGTGGTAGAATCATTCCCTCTCTCAGGTTCTGCTGATTCTGATATTCCATAATTCTATGGTCCCGTGTTTCTCATTATCTGAGTCTCCCTCATTTGTGTGGATAACTCTTTTTTTTTTTGGCTAGGCAATGGGGTTAAGTGACTTGCCCAGGGTCACACAGCTAGTAAGTGTTACGTGTCTGAGGCTGCATTTGAACTCAGGTCCTCCTTACTCCAGTCTATCCACTGCACCACCTAGCTGCCCTGTGTGGATAACTCTTGAGTGTTGGCTTTGAAGACTCTGTTGAGGTTATAGATTACAATTGTAATAATAGCTGATATTTATTGCTTTAAGATTTATAAAATGATTTGCATAGATTATTTCATTTGCTTCTTAAAAATTACCTTATTGCTCTTCTTAAGAGATGCCATTACTTCTCCTATTTTATGGATGAGGAAATAGAGGTTGGGAGAGGTCATAGGATCAGAGATTTAGAGCTGGAAGAAACATTGGGGACAATTGGTTCAATCTCCTCATTTTACAGATGATGGAAACTGAGGTTTAGACTTGCCTAGAGCCAACACAGGTTAGATAGCAAAGTCAGGATTTGAACTCAAGTCTTCTGACTCAAAATCTGTGGCTCAGTCACTCAGCCATTGTTACATAGATAACAGGTATCAGAAAGCAGGTCTTCCTGATTCCAAGTTTAATACTCCATCCACTAGGCTATGTTGCCTATCACATCCCTAAGAGACCTAGCGCCAGAGCAGAGGCAAGCCAGATACACACAGGGGGTATCTCAACAAATCCTTCCTCTGTCCCTAGGAATCTAGGGGGAAAGAAGGAACGTTTTAGCAGTTGTCCACACAAGGTCTGTGCCTTCCTATTATCTACCTTGGTTTTCAACATAACAGGATTGGATCAGCCTCAGAAGCCTGGCATTGGATGCTGCAAAACAGGGCTGAGGGTGAGAGGGTGCTTTCTCCAAACCTGTGATCAGGGAAATAGGGCAGAATGGCTGTCCTGGAGGCAGCTGGGAAATTCTCCAGGGAAAGGTCTAGAGGTTCAGGTCACTCCTGCTCCCACCCTCCCATTCACTGGGCTTAATTAACCTTCTCTCTGCCTCTCCTCCTTTCTCATTTATAATGAAAACTGCTCCTATTGAATGGATCTGTGTCTATGTTCTCCTCAGGTTTGTGCATCTTTGCACCTGTTTGTGAATAATAATAATAGTAATAATAATAATAATGATAATAACTACTCAAATTACTACACTGTAAGGTTTGGAAAGCACTTGAGAGACGTTATCTTATTTGATCTTCACAATAATCCTGTGTAATAAATAATGCACATATTATCATTCCCATTTCATAGATGAGGAAACTGAGACCAAGAGGGGGTGAAGAGACTCGATCAGCTAGTATAAGTCATACCCAGGACTTGCGTCCAAACCTTCTTATTTCTATTCTCAAGGATCTTTGAACTGTACTAGGTGATGATACCACTTGAAAATAATTACTTTTGCTTACTTCTGCCCTCCAGAGTTCAAAGTGCTATTTCTTCCTCCTGCTCAAATTACCTTGTATTTTTTTCATACATACTTTGTGGCTAAGACTTGAGAGGCAACATGGCAGAGAGAGAGAGACAGAGAGAGAGACAGACAGAGAGAGATTGGAAGAGAAACAGAAAGAGACAGGGAGATACACACAAACACATACAGAGATAGAGAGTGGGAGAGGCAGACACACAGGCAGACACAGAGAGACAAACAGAGAGAAGGAGAGGCATAGACAGAAAAAGAGAGACAGGAAGAGAGAAAGAGAAAGAGAGAGACACACAAACACACACATACAAATGGGGAAAAGGGGTAGAGAAGTGAGAGAGCCAGACAGAGGTAGACACAGAGAGAGAGAGAGAGAGAGAGAGAGAGAGAGAGAGAGAGAGAGAGAGAGAGAGAGAGAGAGAGAGAGAGGCTTGATGATAGGAAGACCTGGTTCCTGGCCCTGCCTCTGACACTTACTGTCTATGTGACCCTGGACAAGTCACTTGACATCTCATTTCTCTGGGTGGCTCTCTAAGTCCATAAGCTAGAACAAAAGGCCTGACTGCATTGGTGGAAGGAGTTTCCTCACCCTGGAGTTCCCTATATCAGTGAAATCACAGGTTCAGTGCTTATCTGTTTCTGTTTTGTATCAATTTTTAAGCATACATTGTTCCTCACCGTCTGCCTCTACTCCCCAGTACAAAACTTCTTGAGGGCTAGGTCTATTTTGTCTTTGTATTCCCATTGCCTAACATAGTAGCTGACACATAGTAAGAAATTAATCAATACTTATTGATTGCTTGATTGAAAATGATCCCCTATGGCCATCAATTGGAGACTAGCTGAACAAATTATGATATGTGAATGTCATGGAATATAGTACCGTAAGTAATGACAAAAGTGACTGTTACAGAAAAACTTGGGAAGACTTGTATGAACTGATACAGAGCAAAGTGAGCAGAACCAGGAGAACAATTTATACAATACAGTAACATTGTAAGGGAAAAAAAAACTTTGAAAGACTTAAGAACCCTTACCAATGCAATGATGAGCCCTGCCTCCAGAGGACTAATGAGGAAGCATGCTACCCACTTCCTGACAGACAGGTGAGGTTTTCAAGATTCAGAATTAGACATACATTTTCTGACATAGCCAATGAATATGGGGATTTGTTTTTGATTGAATATGAATATTTGTTATAAGGATAACAATTAGTTATGGATCACCAGACTGGGAATTAGTGGTAAACCTGGGACTGGAACTTTTCTTTTTCTTTTCTTTTTTTCTTTTGGTTTGGGGGAGAATAGTGATAGGACTATGCCAGAGAGAGAGAGAGAGAGAGAGAGAGAGAGAGAGAGAGAGAGAGAGAGAGAGAGAGAGAGAGAGAGAGAGAGAGAGAGAGAGAGAGAGAGAGAGAGAGAGAATAAAAGAGGATCATTGACCTATTTTTTTTTTGATGCACAGAAGAGAACAGGAAAACAAATCCAGAACGAAACACAGACTAGCAGGACAGCTTTGAAAGTTGAATATAGTATCTCTCTCTCTCTCTCTCTCTCTCTCTCTCTCTCTCTCTCTCTCTCTCTCTCTCTCTCTCTCTCTTCTTTTGCTCTTCTGCCTCTCTCCTTCCTATCCTTTTGCTATTCATCCCCATA